TGATTAATGCTATTTACTTACTTATTGCTGTCTTTCTCTCCTAGTGGAGCATAGGGCCTCTGGTTAATGCTAACATGCACTTAAGTTTCCTTCTAATCAAGAAGGAGACTATATCTACTTATGGCGGTAACTAGATTTGGTGAAGTTTTTTCTATTGGGCGCATTATCCTGATATACTTATATTTAGACTTATATTTAGACTTGTGATATTAAGTCTATATGCCCTGGATGTCCGTCACTAATTTTAATCTATTCCCCACGTGGCGCATTTGAATTAATTTAATATACTCACATTTTTCTATTTTAAGTAGTAACCAGATGCTATGCTATTAGATTTTATTTTTTCTTATTATATTGCTTTAAACATTTAATTTGTAATTTATAATATGAAATTTATATTAACGTAATTCTGATAATACATTTAACTCTTACAGACACTTACCTAGTTAAGTTGAGAGTTAATAAAATATTGTGAGTTGAGAAGAAAAAGAATTTGCTAAGTACATATGTATACATTGCAAGATTGCTGGACCATGTCTATCGTGAAAGACAGTTCAATATTGTAAATCAGCAAGTCTTATCGACAATCCTCACGAATATTGAGTTTTCACAGAGAAAATTTACATACTCGTTTGCAGTTTAAAAATAATAATTGTTGGCACTCCATTGTACCAGTTTCTCCATACGTTCAGTTATCGAGATAAACCGACTGAAGAATTAATTTAATAGCTAATAAAATTTAGAAGCAAACTTAAATACAAGGCAATAAAAATAGCAAATTGCAGTTTTTACACTTTTTGCAAAATTATGTTAAAAAAAAAAAACTTTTTTTTTAATTTAATATGTATATCTGATTCAAATTGTAAGTAAAATATTTATTTATAAAAATGTGAAGCAATTTGCCACAAATCTGAATTTAGAAAATTACAAAAAAATCTCATTTTAAATAAACAAAAATAAAAAATAATAAAAATTGAAAAATAAGAATGATGCAAAAATCTTAAAGCAGAGGTAATCATTTAAATTTTGAACTGCAGACATTTTTTAAGCAGAATTCCGAACCAAACCCAAATTACAAGCATCAAACTACTCTGGCTTGGTGGTGCGGTGGAACTTGCAGTTTTCTCAAAACTGAAACAAAGATAAAATTGTAATTACAACAAATGCACTGCAAGCCAAGACCTATTCGAAGCCAGATAGATAGCTCTGTGCTTTGCAAACTAAGCGACGGTCTTAGGCAAAGCAGAAAGATCGCTGGTAAAGTGTAATTCACTGTTAACATAAAATTTTGCTCAAGTATGGATTGCATTATTCACAGTTTAAATGTAACACCGAAACATGATTTAAATCTTGAATTTTATTGGTGCAGGTACTTTGGTGTGGTCCGCAGTCCGCAATCCCCAGCCCGCAGTCCGCAGTCCACTGTTTGAGGTTTGTTGTCCAGCGCAAGTTCTCCGCTTCATAAAATGAATATTATACGAGTGTGTAGTATGTGCAGTATTACATATTTGTATAAAGTGCATTTTACAATGCAAAAAGTTCAATAAAATTTATCAACACACACAACCAGAACGAAAAGTATCTTTTATCGCTTAATATTGTCTTTATTAGTATCGCTTTGTTAGCCATAAATGTTAATATGCACATTTATTTTTTAGTTAGTAAAAGCTCATTATTATATATTATGACCTATATGTATTGGTGGGTGTATATATAATATATAATAAAAAAATATAATATCCACCTACATTAGTATTTTTTTTTTTTTGTTATAATCAAATAATTTATTTGTAAGTTCAATTCGAGAAGTAGTTGATTGCAATGAAAGGGTTTAATATTAAGTTGGCTTGTAGAGCAAACAATTTTTATTCCATTGGATCAAATTCTACTGAGAAACTCTACTAGTGCTAATATATTAAAGTATATAAATATTTATAAATAAATATAAATAGAGTATATAATACTCTATTACATTAGAATATATATATGAGATATAGTGAGAAAATATATAGAGTAAATAGAGTGGCATATATATTTATACCACTCAGTCAGTCAAGTTTTTAATTTGCATATAATTAAAAATCAACTTCAGAATGACTTTGCATATTTTGACGTAATTTAAAGTCATACCATAAAAGCCATAGATATATTGTATACCTTTCAACCAACTTTATTGAGTTTTCTCTCGTGTTACAAATATTTTCTTTACTAATTGCGATACCAAGTATAGTTTAGGCAAAATAAAATAGTAAAGTAAGAGCTTGTTAAAGTTTGCCAATATTTATACGAGTCCCTACTTTCAAATAATTACTATATTTCATAATTTTCAGAAGATTTTATTTTTATTTTTATGTTCAAATATAATAATAAATAGTTAACTCAAAGAATTGAATTAAATCTGACCTACCTACTAACTTTCATCACTTTTATTTTCATGATTAGAGATAAGACTATAGTAAATTATTAAATGACAAAAATAGAGTGAACTTCTAAAATATGAAGTTTAAATTTTATTTATATTAATACCTGCAGTGTCCCCATACATTTTTATTGTAATTGAATATCCTTCCACACATGTAGAGGTAATTTTTTGTCTTTTTCAGTCTACAATATTAACTTATCTTGCATTTCATGTTCTGAAAAATCTAAAGTGACCATAACAATCGAGTTTCGTGTACCCAGATACTGTACTCGTATTATCTGCCCGTTGAAATTTTGTCCAAATATGTACTTAAATTTTTTACTCAATGGTGAAGATGAAAGACCTATTAAATTACCTAAATTCAGTGGGATGGATTTAGTGTCTACTCTTCTATACTAGGGTTCTTGCGAGGAATGTGGTAACAAAACGGCGAAAAATCGCTAATTGAGGTACATTTGAAGTTATCGTATGACCTGCCACTGCAACCAACCAACCAACCAACCATGTACTTAAATATATTCATCACATTACCCACTATGTTCCGAATATAAATTTTGTTAGACTTAAAATGCTTTCATGTGTTGTTCTAGTGATCATTGCATAATCTGCAACGTTTTTATTTTTATTATCCACTATGAAATATCTTATAATAGTTATCAAGTTATATATATATTACTAAACTTAGTTTATCATGTTATGACATTTGCAACAATTTAAAATAAGTAAGAAGTTCTATTTATAATTGCTAGATTCTCATCTATAATTATGTCAGTTTCAATTGAAGATTCTCATTTAATTTATCATTTTCTAAGGCTAATATTGCTATTAATATTGCTATTTTTCCCTTTTGACTCAGACGTGCAACCCCAGAGTTGAGATCCGTAGGCTAGATATAAAATAGAAAAAATTAAATAAAAAATACAAACAGAATAGTATTGAAATTTAACAATTAAAAATAAGAATATATAATTAATTAATTCAATTATACTATAGCTGGTATATAATTTCGTTCTAATATAAACACAGCAAGTGAATTTGTTAATAAAATTTTCATAGCAAAGTAAGAAAACTCCAGGAAAGTGTGTGAATATAAAACTTAGGTACGGTTTTGGGTCAGTTGGTTAAAGAGTGCTGACACTGAGCTTTAAATTTGGCAGGGCACGAGTTCGATTCCTGGTACTTGCAGTTTCAAAAAATTATTTAGAATAATTAAATAGGAGAATTAATTCCAAGACCACTGATAATGGGTATTTGGCCATACTCGAAACAGCTCTATGGTCAGCCAAAAACTCATTTAATAAAAATAATATAAAAAAAAATTTTGTTGTTGTAGTTCACTACTTTTTGAAAAACCTCTTTATAAAAAAAATATGTTAATAAATTATAAATTATATATAAGAAACCCAAAAAAAATTTTTGATATTATTATTAGTCAACAAAAAGTATTTATAACTCAATTATAATATTCCAAATGATATCATCAACAAACAATGACATCCGTTAGGCATCCTATTGCTATATTATAAAAATATTTTATAATTAAAAATGAAGTAAATTATTTTATTAATAAATTTAAAATAAAAAAATAAATTCTTTCAAAATATATTACATATACGAGTGTTAACACAATTGTTTGAACAACTCTTGAAAATAAAAAAAAAAAAAATTGAATTATAAAAATTAGCAAAGCAATTAGCGATAATTAAGCATAAAGTGTGCAAAATTATTGTTACATTTTTGTTATTACATTATTAGTTATTTGTAATAAACATTAAAAACAATAAATTATTTCATTGTACAATTATTTTGTAATGAAAACAAAATCACATGTGAAGGCAGTTTCCTATCACAACAGCGATTTTGTCTTGAGAAAGATGTGATCTGCGACTTCTGCGACTTCTGAAGTAAGAACATAATTATGCCAGGCATTTCTACCACTCGAACAAATGTCAATTATTGTATAACGAAGCTTAATTGTGGCCACTTAGACAATTTATTTACTTGATCCAAGTTCTTTATAAATTTAAATAACAGAAACAATCAACAAACAACAACAACTACAACAGCAATAACAAAGAGAAGAAAATGAAACTCTAACCGAGTCAAATAAATATGAGTATATATTATATTTATGTACCTATATATAAACATATATTATATATTATTATTATAAATATTAGAAAAAAATTCTTAAAGCGTTTAACGAGTTTTGAAAGAGCAAGTGACTGTGTGAATGAGTGGATTACCAACGCCCGGTTACAGCCAACAACAAAAGTAACAGCACTAATACGAGCATTTCACAGATACTTTGCTGTATCTAAAGTTGACTTATTAGAGCACTTAACTGCTAAGTAAAAAGTAAAATTTTGTTGTTGTTAATAAATTATATATTTATATATGCTGTTTATATGCTATTTCAATCAAGCAAACTACACAACTACATTAACCGATAGTAAAGCCACAAAATAGCAACATTGTTAGGCTAAAGCGCAACAATAATCTGATTGAAAAGAGCCGAGCTTAATACACACAAATGCAGACTTAACCAAGGTTTTCCGCCGTTCGCTATAAAAGTCTAAGCCATGTCACTGCGGAAGACAGTTCATTTATAAATTTGTCGCCGTCGGTTTCAAGAAACAAATCCTCCCCGATACGCAACGTTTCGGTTAAGAGCCACGTGCGCCTACTAAATTAATAAAATCCTTTTCAACGGACAAAACGTAAAGGCTACGAAATTCAAAAAAATATCTTTAATTGGTCGCGATTCGCAGAGAGCAGTTTACATTGTCGCTTGAAGGATATACCCGCCCCGCCCAACGAACTACAACACAAAAAATATGTTCCGCTTTGTGAGTTTTTAAGTATCTTTATTATCAAAAAAAACAAAAAAAAATGAAAGACATCAGTGTTCTTCTCAAATTAAGAGTCAATGTGCTTCTGGGAATAAAAACTAAAATGACAAATTAAAGATTAAAGTCTATAATGTTGAACTTTTTATTGAGTCGGAGACAGAGTCAAGAGTTAACACATTTTGAGATTTTTTAATTTTTGTGACGTCTTTATAAGCAATTTTAAAGTGATGTTAAAATATTTAATTAAATACTATAAACGTTTTTACAATAATTAATATACTTGATACTTGACTTAGAGTAAAATATGTGAACATATATTTTAAAAAATCTTCTATTATATATAAATTATATGTAGATTATAAATTTAATTTTTAATAAAACATTTGAGTACTTCCATTTTGGAACAGTCCTCGTTTACACTAGGGAATTAAGTTTTATACTATGCAAATTGTTGCTTTTTCACCTCACTTTATTCTAAATATATAATCAACCAATTTTAATAAAAAAATTTTTACTAAATCACAAGTTGTTCGTTTAAGGCCAGGTACTTCATATATAGAAAAATATATGATGTTAATTTTTTTGTCGAATATGACGCGTCTTATGAAGAAAAGAAGTTATTATAAGGGTTCGAATAGTAATAAAAAGACAACAACAACAATTTAGTTAATTGAAATTTGACTGACCATACAACACTGTTTCAAGTATTACTAAGTATTCATCATCAGTGATCTTATGAAAAAGGCAAATTTGTCATTTATTTATTGTCATTTTATTTTATTTTATTTTATTTTATTATATTACATTTTATTTTATTTCATTTTATTTTATTTTATTTCATTTTATTTATTTTTTATTTTCTTTTATTTTATTTCATTTTATTTTTTTTATTTTATTTTATTTTAATTTATTTATTTATAAAAAAATAAAATATTTAAATTTTTTCTAATTAACTAAATTTTTGTTGTTGTGTTTTAATTACTATTCGAACCCTTCTAAAAACAATGTATTGTCATTTATATAGTAAATGTAAATACTAATTCAACGACTTCATTTTTCACATTCCAATTTAATACTCCATTTTAGTTTAATAGTTTAGTTGCGGTATTTTTTTTCTATTTTATAATATAATATAATATTTTAAAAAAATATTGATTTTTCTGGCAAAAAAATCTTGGAATTAAACATAAAAAAATAGAGTGTACCAAAAAACTTTACTAATCTGAGTAATATTTACAAGGCAAGTGCCACGAGAACAGATGTTGCGAAGATCCGGCTATAATTCTGCGGAACTTCAATTTACCCATATACCCATCCCCACATGTCAATGTTAAAGTGTGTATATACAATTCATTTTGCGACATTCTAACGGAATTTTCCACCCAAAATAGGTCAGACCCGATTTGAGAACTTTATTCCATAGCGAAATATAATGCAAGCATTTACTGATCATTTACTGATACTGGTCATTATTATGTCACACTATGTCATATAATCTAAAATTTTGAATTACTTTGACCTCTGAGTTTTCTGGAAAACATATATAATGCTATTTTGGTTTATTTAGGTGCAAACAAAATATCAAGTCACCATCTAGTTTAGAAAGTATTAAAGACGCATGTTTTATACTTTCTTCGGTTATTTATTTGGATATACCAAAAATATCCATTTTCAATTCAATATCTAGTATTTTAAGTATTGAAGAGGAACCCCCCATGAAATAATTTTTCAATTCATTATTTAGTTGATTTAGTATTGGAGAAAGACATTTTATCCTTTCTCCGGTTGTCAGAAATATTATTTTTCAACTGACTATCTAGTATTAAAAAGAGACATGATTTATATTTTCAACTTATTTAGACTTCTATAAATCTTGTTTGACGATGTCTTCTGGTAAAGCCTTTTAACGCAGAACTTTAATTACCTTGTGACAGTATCTTTTCAACTTGACTAGTAATAACTTTTAAGTAAAAATATTAGAAAATATGAGTAACAAAATTTTATGGAAAATAGAATATCGTATTATATTTTATATATAGACTTTAATGGAAATAAATATGTGTTTACATACATCCATGCATCATATAATATATAAGACTTTATTAAAAAAAAAAGATTAGTTATATATTCATAAAATTAAAAACTACTGACTTAAATTGACGTAGATTTAAAAAAGATATATTGGATTTTTAAAATTGTGAAATTGGATAATATGTAAAGAAATGCTCATACTCACAAAACATTGATGCAGCTGATGTTTGTAGGTCTTTTTAAAAAATAATTGTATAACCATCAAAAAGACGGCAACGAACAATCATTATTCCACCCAATGTAAGGATTACGCACTGAATTCAGCGAAACTTCTTTATCAACATTTCATGAACTTTGCTGGGCCAAGACATAAAGTCTTGCCTAACGCTTTGAAAGTAAATTAATGCCTTCTTAATGAATTCCGACCGTTTTTTCAACAATGGCTGGGAATACAAATTAAAATTCATCAAGCAGTGATAAGTCATAATAAATATTATAGTACCATTGCAATCTCACTAATCAAATAGTAGGATATGTAGTTTGAACGAATTCAGTTTTATGGTCAGCCAAATTTCAATAAATTAACTAAAATTTTTGTTGTTCTCTCTTCATTTCTATGCGAACCCCTCTAACTTTTAAATAGTTTCGGACCGTCATAAGACGCGTCATTTTCGGCAAAAAAAATTAATATTAAAAGTATTCGGTTTTTGATTAAAGTGTATTTTTTTACATGAATTAAATAATATTGGTATTATGTATTGAATATTATTCACTAAATGATTAAATAAATAATTGGAAATTATTAAAATATCTAATAGCATTTTAAGGGTATTTGGTATTGTACTGTATGTAATAAATAAAATAGAATGATCGGATCTAAATATATGTAATTACTTATTTAATGTTTTCATAATGAAACAATTAACGTTAGGGTATTATATATTATTCATGTTCTAACTACTTCAAATTTTTAATTTTATCTCCTTTTTTAACATTGCAGTTAGTAGTTACAACTTTAGTGGCTTTCGCTGCCAGTCAACACTATCATCAAAATCCGCAAACGGCGGCAATTATTAGCGAACAACGCTATCTCTCAGGTGATGGAAAATTTGGAGCTGCCTACGAACAGGAGGATGGCATTAATTTCAAAGAAGAAACCGACGCGGATGGTACACGTCATGGCAGCTACAGTTACGTAGATCCTACTGGCCAAAGACGTACGATTTCGTACACGGCAGGCAAACACGGGTAAGTGTAGGCGGTGCAAGCCAAAGCTGTAGAGTTGCACACAAGACAAAGCTTAAGAAAGCATTGCTGCAACATGCAAGCAAATTATTTATGTTGCAACAATACTAGTACTGTGCCATTATGACAACATAGTAGTGAAGAAAAAATATTGAAACGTGACTGGCTGTCGCCAACACCCAAACCGGTGCTGGGGTGCTACTGACCGAATTCCAAACGACAACAGCTGCAAGCTATTGAAATTAAATAGGAAAACATGTCAAACTATCTCTGTGGGGTTTTAAATTCCAATAGTAGAGGCGAAATAAATAAATGTTGTCATTTAAGCCAAAATTGAATTTTTAACGCTTAATTAATCTTGTTTTTGTTATAAAATAGTGTTACTGATTTCATAAGTGTTATAGATTTATATAATTTTTTACTTTCAATTATTTATTAAAAAAACAATAATTTGTTTACTCTTTACAGCTTCCAAGCTGCTGGTGAACATTTACCTGTTGCCCCACCAGCACCACCACAGCCCATACCACAACCTGGATATGCACCACAACCTCAATATCAACCACCATCACATAACGCCTATCGTGGCGGTAATAATGACTATGATGATGGCTCATATGATCCACGTTACAATGATCCTGGTTTTGGTCAAAATCAACAGCCAGCATATCAGCCAGCACCACAGCCACAATATCGTCCACCAGCACCTACCTATAATCCACCACCACAGCCTGCCTATAATCCACCACAACAACAATATAATCACTACCAACCACAGCAACAACAACCACAACAACAACAGCACTACCAACACACCACACCCAATCCACATCGTTTCTCACCACCTGGTAAATTGTCACTTAATCGCACACCTGACGGTTTTACCTACAGCTTCAACAAGGTCTAGAATAATAATTTAGTATCTTGTTTAGTGTGTGAGAGAGATAGATTGAAATTTTAAATTGTTTTTATTTTTTCTTTTTATTATTTTCTTTTTGCTTTTGTGTTTTTTAATTTTATTTTGTAATGTAGTCGATACTTAAGAATTTCACATACTCTCATGTAACGTAACTGCCGCTATATACTTTCTACTATTTTAAGATCGCGATCTTTTCTACTCCCACAAATACTTTCATTTTCTCTTTTAATTACTCTTTAATATTCTCAAATTAACTATCTCTCATTTAGACTTTTATTTCATTTTATCTCTAATATCTAATATCTATTTCCTAAATAATTTTGATACTTCGATTTCTCTTGTGATATAAAAATTGTTGCAACAATTCCTACACATTACTTTTTAATATATCTATTCTTTTTTATTAAATCAAATTTTTAAAAGTTTTCTTTAACTATTATCAAGATATATATATCTTTATATATAATATATATTATAATATTAAACAATTTTAAATGATTTGTAAAAAAAGAAGTGTGTGTGCTTATTTAACGAAAAGAAAAAAAAATTACAAATAAAATTTTATGATATAAAAAAAATGTGGAACAAATAAAAATTTTTTACTTATCAAAAACAATATAAGTATATATGTTTAATTTTATTCCAAAAATCGCTAATCGATGTAATTGTGACCTCATCAACTTCAACAAAAATAACATACTAAAAAAAATAATCAGTTTTCGTAATCATTAGGATTTAAATATCAAAAATGGAAATAAATAACTACAATTATTTCAAGATATATAGTGTTTTCAAAAATCTCTCCAATATACATTTAGTAATTTTCATTACTTATTTAGTTGACCATTATAGACGTGAGAAGTTCTGGGTCGCTTCGAGTAGGCTCCGCCAGCGAGTCCGATTAATTGCTTGCTGTCGCCAGTTGGTAGATCGAGTGCCTCCAAATCGTGCCCCCAAATCGCTGGTTCTTCCACCAAAAATGCGAACGTCCTCTACCGCATTTTCCACCTGTGGGTTCCATATCAAACCCCTTTCTAGTCGGAGCACTTGCACTTAGTAACACTTAGTAATTTTATTAAGTGAAAATCAGAACTTCAAAACAACCTAATACGGGTTGTTAAATCTTTTAACATCTTTATTAAAGGCACCAAGTGTAATAGGTTGATTAAACGAAATTAATATGAATCAATATTTTATATTACTTGGCTTTACTTCTATTCACCAACTTGAAGCTACGAAGTTCCCCCGGTCCGTTTGTGGTTGGCATAAACGCTTTTTAAATATTTATGCTTTTATAAGTTATTATAATCTAATCACTACTATAATGGTTTGCATACTTATTGACGATAATCGCCCTAGTTTCCAATTTGTATTAAAATTAATTATTTCACCAAAACATATCATCATCAAAAGCGACAGTGTGAGACTTAAACCCAATAAAATCTCCTCTTCGGAATGAATGAATAAATGAATTCTAGTAATCAGTGGAGAAAGATTAGTGAACTATATTCATCTAAGCTAGAAAGCATGGGCATGGCGCAGGTAGTCCAAATTAATTAAAATAGTCATTAACGTCATATCTGATGTTAAAATCAAATTTAATATAAAAAGTCTAACTAAATCCATCCCATTTTATTCAGATAAAATAATAGATCTTTTGTTCATACCGATAAGCATTCTGACAAACTGTCAAAAAAATTCTTACCTAAAAATCTATTTATTTAGCGGCCAAAGTCGAGCATTCATAAGAAAAAATGAATTTAAATTATCTCACCTTCTGATTGTTAAAAAGAAGTCGTTATTTCTCTCCTCACATTTGTATATACTAGTCATCAGAGAGAACTTCAGGAAGTATTGCAGTATTCTCGCGGATTCAATTAATAAGTTCTTAAGGTCTAGTCTTGTTATAAGAGCATCATGTTAACCGGGAAGCTACATCTGACCTAAGTGTCTTCTTTTTGTTATTGATAAGCTGAAGAAAATAGAGATAAGTACGTCTGCTAACGATCTCTAAGGGAACATAAATCGGAAACCCTACGGCAACAACTAGAGTAACACCAAAGCCAAATCTTCTACTTTGTCATTTTATTCAATCTTCTATGATCAAGAACCCAAATAAAACTGTTACCAGCTAGCCGGTTTAGCTCAATTTTTTGTATTTTTTTGTTTTGTTCTTTGTTTTTGTTCTTTTTTTATTCTTTTTTTTGTTCTTTTTTTTTGTTCTTTTTTCTTTTGTTGTGCGGTGGAATGCTTTATGCACTTGTCAAATCTACCGTCATCCGCCTGGTGTGCCGCCCGACTCCATAACACATTAATATGTAAAACGTTGACTAAAACACCCCCTCTTTAGAAAGACTTATAATCTTATAATTTTTTGGAGTAGTGAAATTCATTATTTCATTTATTTATTTTTATTTTTGATGCTTTCTATTGGGGTCAAAATAAGATTGTTGGATGTATGCAGCGAAACAAAAAACTAGGAGTACAATTTAATTGTTTTTGAAATGACAGTAAAAATAGTCGAAGCTTTTAATAGTAATACACCTGACTTCATAGAAAAGGTGAAGTCTATATAAGTGGTATATATTTATTTATATATATATATTTATATACATTTATTAGTACTGCCATAACTTGGAGAACTGCCAATTACAAATGGTAAGGCTTTCTGCGTGTATTTTTAATATAATTGCTTTTAAGGTGTGTACGGTAAATACAAACATAATTATTTTATATATAAATATATATGTGTATGTCTATATATATATGAAGTATACATCGCTTTCTACATTTTAATATATTTTTAATCTGTAATTTTTTTATAAAATATTTATGCACTAAAAAGACGGCTCTACTGCCTCAAAGAACGTTTCTACTATAATATGGTAAAAGCTATAAATTTTTAATAACATTTTATGTTGTAAAAAAATTTACATAAAATATTCATAAATAAAGAAAATCAAGGAAATATCTATATATAATATATATTTCAGCATATAATGTAAATATTTTTATTTCGCGTAAGACCATTGAAGCGCCAATTTTTTGCAATACCTAGACTTCAATAATGAATACAATGAATGCAAAATGATTACAACACCTACAAAAACAAGAAAAAACTGCAGTACTTCTAGCTTGATTTAACTGCAGATACAAAGATACAAAGCAAATATGAGTTCATAAAATTAAATTATTAGCAATAATAGAAATAATAATGAAGCCCACGTTTAGCGATTTCTAAGCCGGAAAATAACGCCAGCCTGAGTTCCAGCCAATAAATTGAAGCATATAATTATGTTCTGTTTTATTCAAATTAATTGGAATTAAATTTGAAATTGCTAATATTGATATACACATCATGTGATAATTATATAAAGAATTTAAATTATATCAACATTACTTTGTATATTTATTTTTTATATTTTTTTTTTTTAATTTTTAATAAAATGTTTTTATTAGTATTTTTGAAATTTGACTGGTTTCGCTTGACTTGTCATTTTGGTGCAATTGCCACACATTTCAATCATTTCAAAATCTTGATTGATTTTTATAAAATCAAAAATATCTTTAAAGTAATTTAACACAACAAATAATTAACAAATTTTGCATGTACAAACGCCACAATTACAATTTTGATTACTGAAAGATACCAAAATTTGTTGGAAAAGTGTGGCAAGTCTCGGTTTGAGGCAAATTACAAATTCTTTCGCTGTTCAAGCGTGCGAAGTAGTTAATTTATGTTATTAACTTGGCTTATTAAACACTAATAGTCAAGGTCAACACTATTTAATGAATTTTTCTTTTATTTCAAATGTAGCCAATATAGTCAATGTAGCTACTTGGGCTTAGTTACTGCCTTAAGTTGCTCTAGTAAGCAGTAAAATTGAAATGAATAACCTCTTTAAGTCAATTTTTTTAGCATTTTTCCTAGCTTCGAATGTAAACGGGTTTCATTTATAAAAATGAAAGTTTAAATTAAAGTTGAAATATAATAATTATAATTTAAAATTCCTATATATAACAATATTCAATAGTCTCACATATCTATTTTTACACATATCTATATTATAATTGCAATGAAAGCAAATTTATTGTAGAATATATCAAAAAATTGACAGGTTAATGTCACTGTCAAATAGAAAAATTAAACTTAAACATGCACTGTTAATAATGTTGTTGTTGTTGTGGTTTGAGTTAGTACTATTGTGCACTTTTACTCTTTTGTGGCCGGTGGGCTTATCCCAACCCCACACTAAGCATTAACTATACTAGAATTCATATCGTTTATTTGTCGTTTAATTGATGACGGACCGTAGGTCAGCATATATTCCTGTGGGTCCTGAGGTGAACTTAAGGTTTGTTAGGGCGGGGCTGTGGAGCTATCAACTTTTGTGAATAACGTTAGAGCCGATTCTTAGATCTCTGTGCATGTCTGTTGTTCTAATATACCATGAAATCTTAAATAGTCTTCTTATAGCCAGGTTTTGTGCTATCTGTAAATGCTTTATGGCAGTATTTGAAGCTTTGCTCTATGTACAGTTGGCCTAATTATTTGGGTATATAGTAACTTTCTATTTTTGAGGTTGAAGTGATTATTATTGAACAGTGGCTTTAGAAAATGTAAAATTTTAGAACAGATATTCCGTCAAACGTGATCCCCAAATATTTTATGCTTTCCTCTCACTGTATCTCCGTGTCATCGTCGCACAGTGTGACAAAACAAAAATTAAGCGGTCAGAGTTCGATATTTTCAGAACCAGTAGAGTATTTTCATAAAATATAGTCTTTGGGATGATCTTTCCCTATCGGCCTACCGGAACCCTCCAAAATTTTTGCCCAAACATGGGGCATTTAATGATATCCCAAGACTACTCAAAAACTATGATAGGAAGAAAGCTGAATTTTGGTGTCCAAAAAACTTACATTATTATCTAGATTACAAAATTTTTTCATGGTTTTCCGTCCACTGTTACACCCACCACTCATACAAAAATCACTTCAGCTAAAAAATTCAATAAATTAAAATAATATAAAATGAATTTTTGTTGTTGTGGTTCACTACTGTTCAAAAAAACCTCTCTATTATTTTAATTAATTGAATTTTTGGCTAACCGTACAGTTGTTTCGAGTATTGCTAACTACCCATCATCAGTGGTCTTGGAAATTATTTCTTATATATAATTATTCGTAAATATTTTTTTAAGACAGCAAGGGTTGAACTTGTGCCCTGCCAAATTTGAAGTTCAGAGTAAGTATTCATTAGTCAACTGACCCAAAGCCGTACTTGATTTGTTTGTTCAAACTTGGAGTTTTTTGTTTATCTGCTGTGAAAGTTCATTAACAAATTAACATGCTATAAAATTTTTAAATGTTTATTTTAAATTTTTTTTTATATATTTTTAAAATGTTTTTTTTTATATATATATAATCTGGCTGTAGTTCCCTTCTTCTTAATTATTTAACGTTTTATATGTTTACGTTTAATATTTTTTATTTTTTATTATACTCTATATTTCTATCGTCTATATTGTACAATACGTTTTTTTATTTATTGTATAGTCAATACACTTCAATACCTCCATCCATATGCAATTAGCTCAACTTAAAATTATTACTGTTGCCTGCTTTTAGGCTTAAATGTATTCAATTTCATTTAGATAGAATTTGTTTGTTCAATACACAAACCAAAATTGTCTTCTATGTTTTGAAAAACATTGCATTTGCGGACATGTGACATAAAAATGAATGAAAGCTGCTGAAGCGGTTCTAAACTTTTAAAAAATAAATGGATCTGATAACATAAATGCGACAAACATAGATATAGAAATACATGTAATTTGCCTTTTTAAAAAATCATCAATTCCGAAAAGCTGCCCGACGCAATGAGGTAAACATATATTTCTATGTTTTCATTGATGGGTTTATAAAATGAATATACTTACTAATTTTTGCTTATTTAAAGAAATTATTATCAGCGGACAAAATTTCTGTAAAAAAAAAATAAATTTTTAAATTAATAAATTGCTTAAAATACAGATCCGAAAAACCAAAGGGTCTCTATTCAAGAATATATTTACTAGTTTTTACTTATTAAAAGAAATTATTGTCAGTAGACTTAAATTCTTGGAAAACAAATTATTTATGGTATAAACTTGACTAACAAATTCTATCCGAAAAGAGATTCGACAAAAAATAGAAGTTGATCTCTACACGTCAGAAAATAATATCTCAATTATAACGGAAGCACTACAGGAACCAGATCTCATTTTATAGGTTGAGAAAAAAAAGGACCTTAGGCACTCACTTGAATGAAAGGTATGTTATCATCATATTTTAATATTATCATATACAAATAACACACAGATTGCGAATGCTGAAAAATAAAATGGCTCCCTTTGATTTCATAGAAGTCAGCTTGAGTAGCCAGCGAAAATCACAATGAGCTTTGGATTATAGAACAATTAAGGCATTCAAATGCTGGTTTTAACACAATGATCTTAAGTGTTCAAAACATACAAAAGAGTTGTTCAATGTTCGTAATACTGACAGACAGCCAAGCGGATATCAAAGCACCAAACATCAGATGACCTCAAGACTGCCTTGATAAGCTAAAGCTGCTTGGCGAATCAAATCAGGTGTCGATTCTTTGGATTCTTTCTTTGATGGTGCAGGAACCTTTTTGTGGACTAACAAAAGAAAAACTTAGGATCATCATAGAAATCCTAACAGGGCACTGTAAACAAACTATAGATAATATGAAGAGAATGAGGAGCCGAACACTTATGTACTGTTAGAATGCCATGCGCTAATGCACATGTGGAATAGGCTTCTGGGAATATATACTCTTACGAAAAATACTCTTACGGAGGGTCTCTAAGCCCTGACGCAACAGAGCTTAGAGATCTACTCTAAACCCAGAAGGGGCACAATAGAAGGGGGTCGCAGTGACACATCCCCTAACAACAATAATAAGATTTGGCACCAACTTTTAATACCAAGTATAATCTGTAATATCCGCTTTATACCCGCTTTCGAGACGAAAGGATTATCAGTGTAGTGTAATTTGTTGTTTTTATATATACAAAATTTTGTTTCTTTTTAGATTATGGGGAAATAGAGTGGAAGGGGTTACTAACTTGCCACTGAAATAATTCCAAAACCAATGATAATGGGTATTTGACAACACTCTAAACAACTGTGTGGTCAACCAAAATTTCACTATTGCTCGATAAAACCTCTCTATTAAAAACAATAAACTATATTAATAATTTTATTTCTTTCGTCAAAACGCATTAAAAATCAATTTATTTAATAAAAAATAATAATATATTTTTTAAAACATATTTTATTTAATTATTTAAGTATTTTTTGTTTTGAATACAAGATGTTCTTATAATACTTTGGAAAAATGTGTTTAAAAAAAAAATTTTATGTAAAAAGAAATAAATAATAAAAACTGCTAAAACTAATTTGGATAGTATAAATTATATACTTATTTAAATATTTCTAAAACTAAAGAATTCTTAATTATTTCACTTATTTAATAGATATTCTTATTTCGTTTAAATGTAGTTATGATGTTAATGAGAATTGAGCTTTTAGGCATTGATGAGAATTGCCGAGCGAAATCTACGGTTTTTTGGTTTGGATACAATATTTGGTTTACCTTTAATGGGACGTTCACCCTTTGGACGTCTACGCAGACGATTGGGTTTAAAACTTATATTCTCATCAAAATTCGGTCGAAATGCCGCGGCTGATGGATGTGAAAGAAGGCTGGGTTCATGAGCTTCGGTACGCACTGCTTTCAATGCTTCGTCAAGTAATTTTTGTTGATCTTCAAGATATTTTTCAATTTGTTTCTTTGACGCAACTCCTTTGAAACGATCGCTTGTAAAAGGCTTTCCTCTGCTAAGAAGATGTGCTGCAACACCTTCGTAATCTTCATGTTCAGGTTCAAAAACATTATAACCGTTATTTACGGTGAGGCTAGCTTTATGTGGACCAATCGAACCGTAAGCATCTCTATCAAATTCACTGTACTTATGCAATGGCACATGTTTCTTAGGACGTATATCAGGGACACCTATTTCAGTTGAGAGATTTGGGTCACTAAAGCTATTACTGCTTTTGAAGGGTGTTATGCTAGTATATTTGCCATGTTTGATATGTGTGGATGATACTTTTTTAGGCACTGTAATAGGGTGTTGTACGTGTATCTGTGTACCAATAGTGAATTCATTATTATCATTTTCCTTTGAAGTATATTCATGCGATTCGGTAGAATAGTCATTAGCGAAATGTTCCTTAGATGTTTCTTCTTCCTCCTGTAATTGAGTTTACATTTGTAAGAAATACATGGATTTTAATATTTGCTTGAAGTTGTGTATGTAATATTACTTACTGAATTATATGGTCTAAATAGTGGTTTCTTTCCATAAAGTTTTGAAAATTCATTTCGTTTACTTTCCTCAGGCAACAAATCACTGGAATATGAAATTGGTGAATAATCAGGCTGATGGTGGAAATAGTGTAAAGCGGGTGAAGACAACGGTGTATAGTAAGTTCTTTTATAATACGAAGACTGTGCCTTGATGCCAAATATCGTGCTACACAGCAGTAAAATGATGTGCTGTAACGTGAACGAAAATTAAAGTTTAATGAAACTAATTAAAAATTTATAAAAAATGTATAATAAACATAAATAAACTGCGAATTGCGAAATAATGCTATTCAATGCATTTTCATGTCCGGCTTTACAATATTAGCTTTCTACCATAAAAGAGAAATGAAAAGTGCATTAATCATGCAGCTTAGCGCTCTCGTGTTATATGCAATAATTAAAAAATAACTAAAAAATTATGAAATTATTAACAAATGGCATTTGCCAAGTTCAAAGTTCAAAGCCCGCTTCACAATTAATTCATTTTCATTGAATTTACATTGTTAAATTTGTTAATTGAAAAGCTCTTAAATATTAATAAAATAATAATAATAGTAATAATTTTGTTGATTGTGTAACTTGATATATGGCTTATACATATAGCTTATATGTGGCTTGATATGTGGCTGATGGCGAAGTCAATTTTTATTAGCAATTAAATATGTTGGTAAGATAGATCAAATACTGACATGACATTTGGATAAATAGAAGCCAAGTGATTTCGTTTTTTATACTATTTTTTTTATAATACATCATAATTTTGTCAAGTTTTGCCAAATTTTATTTAAACTTAATAAAACTCTAACCAAAACATTTCATTTGATGAACCAAGTGACAATTGTATAGCCCCTATTAGCGTTCAAGTGTGGCATACATAACCTTCAAGCAATCATAAAAACATAATTGATGTGAAAGATTTCGATATCCGCGAATTCCACAGTTTCCATCCACAGTATCTCCACTGTACAGATACGGATATCGTGATCCACTCCATCGAATATACTCCTAAATATACTCCACTCCTTTGTAAGTACGATGAATTATGAAAGATGATGTTCATAATTAACGTTCATACGTTCTCACTCCTAGCTTAGATAAAATTGAAAGCTCAAATACTAAACTCCCATTATTTTTACCCCCTGATTACTTGAATGTGATATCAGTCAAATGTCTTTTACAGTCTGATATCGTGATCCGCTCCATGCAGTATACTCCTAAGAAGTCCCACTCCTTTGTAAGTACGATAAATTATAAATGATGATGTTCATAATTAACCTTCATACGTTCTCACTCCTAGCTTAGATAAAATTGAAAACTCAAATACTAAACTCCTAATATATTTACCCCCTGTTTACTCGAACATGGCCTCAGCCAAATGCTTTTTACAGTCTGATGGCTAAGGTCTTCTCAACTCGTTCCTAAGAGGGGTTGAAGTCTCACTACATAGCTGTTTGATCATCTACAGTATGGCGAGTTCATTTGAAATTAATCAAAATCTTCACTTAAATGGATGAAATTGAAACTGAATATTAGAAAAACATTTATTTATCGCATTTTAACTGAACATTTCATTCATTGTGATTTGATGACTGCTTTTATAATGGATTTTAAAACTGTAACATATAAATAGTATATATTTTTAATATAACATAACCGTAGCTCCCATTATTAAAATCAAAATGCAATCTGTACAACTGTGCTTTTATACTATAATTTAAAACTGATATATATATGAGGAATTTATATATTTTTTCTTATAGCTATACTATATAAAAAGCGTTTATTATAAAAACAAAAGATCAACAAAAAATTTTACTAAAATATATGATTTAAGTACAATATCTGATTACATCAGTTTATTGCATGTATCTTAAACTTGTAATCATGTTGAACCCAGTAAACGCACTAAAACCACCTCTTAGGAATAAATGGAGAAAAATTTACACAGCAATGTGTAAACTTCATTCCAGTAATTAGGGAAGAGAGATATA